GTTTCAATGCCCTAACCTGCATTCTTTGGAGGAATGGGACACAATGACTTCTTTCGATGTCTACAGATTTTGCATCTCTCAAAGGGAACCTCATCACCACACACTGCCAGTTTTTTGGTCGAGTATTCGTACCGGGTTACAGCACCACATATTTGTCGGCTATCGCCTACAGGAAAGAATTTCAACCCGATATTTGCGTGCGTAACATTGGAAGTCTACTCAATTGGAGCACTCATGCACCAGTGAGAGAAGGAAAACATCATAACTTTATGAGGTCAGAGATCGAATGCACGGAACATCCACGACTAGGGCTTTACATCTAACCGGTAGAGCAGATTTTTTACTTTCTTCTCATTTCCGACCCTTATGACAATATGTGTTAAGCGCCTTCTGAAATGCTTGGCAAGCTTAGGGAAGCAATCGGTCTACACCTTAACTAAGCGAAAAGGAGCTGTTACTTTTCGATAGGCGGGTCTCACTCACTTGCACTAATAGACGATAGACTAAGCTGCTCTCTTAACATTCTACGCGCTGTGCAAAGGCATTATCTGACGTCGATTCATTCCTGATTTGTGATGTGTTGTTGACTTCCAAAGTTTAACATATTAGCACATAATTGACCATGCGTGTTCGACCAGTTCAGAGAGAGGCACCACATCATCTCTAGAAGGCTATGCTTCTTGTGCTCTTGACCGATGACAACAGTTCACTTGATAGTGACCAAAAATTTACTACAGGCGGATCCTACCTACGTTTCTTTTTTTCAAATTACAACACAAAACGTCATGAAGCTGAAAGGGCCTACCCACTCCACTTCTCCTCCTTATCGAATGGTCGTCATTTTACTGCTTTGATATCAGCCAATCGCATCGTGCTCCAGAGGTAAAACACCAATGTCTCAAACCGGGTTTGATTTTTTACTTGTAGATGCAAAAGCGGCTGAACTCAAAGGTTTCCCGAGTAGGGATGTGTAAGACTTAAGCCCTAGGCTTGATGTTGGCTTTTGTTGAGGTCTTCTTGTTTGCCCAAAAAGTTAGGAGCTGAACCATTTTAACTTTATTGATTTCCACTCATCTCTCCGACCAGTCTACGTCATTTTTACGTGAACATTTTGAGCTCAAAAACTCATCCTAAGTCTCTCTTCACTTCTTCCATTCCGAACTCGGTCTAGTAATCGGTGAACCGGTGTATTGTATTGACATTTTTTGGGGATATTTATTATTACTTCCACAGTTCTGATATGGGGACAGAGAAGGAAGTGCTAATCACGGTACAGTCTTACCCATCGACCACTGCTAGACCGAGGGAACAGCTTTTGAATTAGCCATAGTCAACGGATAGAGAGGCTGCGACGTCACTGCTTCAAATATGGACATCTTTGATTGGCATTCCGACTACTTTTGTAGTAATAATCTAATGTATTACTTGAGAGGCGGTTCAGCTGATGGGCGTCGCGACCGTAAGAGAATGCATGAATAGCCTTTAAGTCAATCCAGAAAGTTAGTTTAAGGCAAAACTGAATTAAAGAGGAGGTGGAGAAGGCAGTATCAAACAATTAAGTAATTACAGTAAAGCATCTTCTAAAGTGCACGGATTTTTTGCTACTAACTATTATTGTCACTGAAGTAAGTGCCGCTCTTTAGTTGAGATCTTTGATATCTCTCTGGCAGACATTTTAACACATCCACAGTTGCAACAAACTAGAATGTAGGGAGATTTAACACCTGCAACCAGCTGCCTTATCACTTTATCTCGCGACAGACGTTCTGGCTTTCCTTATTCATCCACGCGCATGGGCACTGTAGGCCGTTGTATGGGGGATCTCTTATGAGTTTGAGCATTATTTTCCCTCAAGTTCGTAAGCACCGCCGACTTGTGTATCCGTACCAACGTGTAAATGCTGAACATCTCAATACCAAATCTGCTTATTCTTGTTTACCTCACCGGTTTTCGTTGCAGTTCTTCCAATGATGAGCGGGAAGCCTATACTGACAGCATTTTGGACGATATTGTCGATTCTGCGGACAGACCCTTCGATGTGAGTTCCCTGTCTCCTTCAAACTCCTTGGTATCGTAAAGCATCGGCCCAACAAACACAAGGTCAGCTTAGCACTAGAGTGAGGAAATTTACGTACACATTCATTGGCGGATCGTGTGAACTGTAAATAGTGAAATACCTCTTTTGTGCACCTATTGATATCCAAATTGAAGGATCAAATCATCGGCCTTGATCTTGAAATCTTGTGGGAAGGGTAAATGCTATAATGAAAAGCTCCTCCCTCCTCCAACTTCTCCCTCTGTCAAACTCGCAAAATCTCACCTCTCCTCGCGGGATGAGAAAACGAGGTGATAAGATCTAATGAAAGCTTTAACTGCTTGCTTTTGCTCTTGCATAGATGATGTATCGCCTTGGGAGTAGGAGTGGATGATGGTGTTTTGAGATATTTTCTGTTTGTCAAAAAATAGGCGAAAATGAAGATAGTTTTCGGCATATTTTTTTGTCTAAAATATTACATTCCCTTCATTTGGGCAACACCAAACAGGGCAATCTCATTGCTGTATAATCTTGAACCTTCAAGAAGGATGCTTTGGAGGTTAGGAAACACGTTAATGCTTTAGTATTGAACAAAAATTTTGCTATTGGTCTTATGAACTGTTTGTCCAAGTTCGAAAAAAATTGCGAACTATGCTGTTCACAAGTGTTCTCATTCCACTCCTCTCTTCTGACAAGGTCACAAATAAACATTCACCTTTTTGCCCCCTAAATTATGAATGATTGAGACAGTTTTCACGTATCAGAATCAAAACAGGCAAAATACGTTCCGTTTCTGGTGAAATAAACGCGAAGGGGATTTAGCAGGTGTAATGTTTGCCTCCTCGCTTAATTTTTTATGGTCTTCAATTAAGATTCCGAATGCATGACGCCAAAAGTAGGGCCAAATAGTGCGGAACACCAATAGGGACAAGAAGGAGAATTTGGCAAAGCTCAAGTATTTTGTACCTTACAAAAGGACCACTTTCAATGGCCTTAAAAGCTTGATTTTGCTTTACTTTTCTCGTCTTTTTAATGAATGCTCGTGAATCAAACTTAAGTGGCATTTCAGAAAGCATGAAATGAAGTCCGAATCCGATTCCATTTGCCTCAGTTACACGCGACTGGTTTCTTTGGTGTCGTCTAAATGCTACCCAATTCCAGTTCCTACTTTACGACAGGCTCATGTTAAACGCTATACTTACATCTGTACCGCTTTTCTTAGGGACGAGGCTGGTGGCGTGAGCAAGAGGAGCCGTGGCAAACACTCGCATGTTGTCGGGAGTTAGCAGCCGCACTTCGTCATTCGAACTCCCCGTCCACCTACGTCAATCACTTTCCTGTTCACCAGGACGGTTCGTGCAACGGTCTTCAACATTACGCTGCCATGGGACGCGACGAACGCGGCGCCGCGTCAGTCAGTTTGGTAGACTGCGAACGTCCTCGAGATGTCTATTCTGATGTCACTGAAGTAGTGCGTATTACCTAGATAGACTGCGTCGAAATCATTACTTCTACAAATAGGGAGATTTTTTCAACAGTTTCCTATTTCCTTCTACTTATTAGTATTATTAGTAGCGTTGTACTAACTGTAGGCTTTTTTGCTCCCTCTTAAGCTGGACTGCTATCGACTTCACTACAGGCAGATACGCATCTAAATTTGTTATATTAATACTACCAATGTTTGTAATTTGATCCCCTCTTTCCACCAACTGGTGCTTATTAGCCTACACCTTTAGAATGCCATTATAAGTAGGTTAAGTGACCATTAATTAACTAATCACAGGTGGAGGCGCGGCGTCGGGCAGACGCTGCAGAAGGCAATGAGATAGCGATCGCGCTGGAGGGTGCTGTACAACGGCGCGTAATTAAACAGTCAGTCATGACGACAGTCTATGGGGTCACGCTGTACGGCGCAATGGCTCAGATCCGTCGGCAGCTGCGCGAGCTCCCAATTTTTCAGACACCTGCAGGTGCTGACGCCGATCGGCGTCTTGGGCCAGCTTCTGTCTACCTAGCTCGACTTACGCTATCCAGCATTGAGGCTATCTTTTCTTCGTCTACTTCAACTCAGGCCTGGTTCGCGAAGGTGGGTGCATTGGTCGAGCAAATTTTATAGCTGCATTGAGTTTGCCGATGTCCAGTTTTAATAGAAGTCGGGTCCCTAAGATATGTAACTTTTCGGCCATGCGTCGAGCCGACGACCCTTTGCCTGCATTGGTCCCATCATTGATTTTCTTTGCGACCAAAGAACCTCCTTTCTGTCTGTCGATATTCCGGAATCATAATTTTTCTGCAAAATGTCCTTTCAGCTACCTGATACTTTAAGACAAGTGCCCTTCTTCGTGTGATGGATAAATGAATTCTTTAAATTAGACTCAGATTTGTTCACCTCGTCCTCCCTGATCATCTGCTTCGTTGTTTATACACATGCTTTATAAAGCACGCAATTGTATCAGTCTATCCATAAGGTGCTCTTCATAATCTTTATTACTATGAGGCCATTTGTCCTATACCTTGGATTTGTTCGCACTACTGACAAATCCGGAGTTGGTTGCGTAGTTGTGACACCTTATCGCAGCATTTACTGGGTCGCATCTGCAGCGTGTACACCCTCAATGGATTTAAGAAAACAATTCGGTTTCATTAACAAAAAATTCAAAAATTGTGCCATCATAGGTTTGGAACGGGGAGCCGTGGTGCAGGCTAAAAGGACCGGGCGCTATACACCTTTGCTGACTGACTTACTGTTAGGATTGAGTAATGTATTGTAAAACCGTGTGAACCCGCCCTTTGCTTTGAGTTTTTTGGCCTCATGTTTTGGCTTCTCATGACTATGGCTCTTTTTGTGTGCATATAGGGTAGATAGCCAATTGAAGCGGTCTATTTAGTCGATAAGGTTCATCTTCACCCTATGGGCGAAGAGAGAGAGAGCATCATCCTCACAAATCCAGACAGTCTTATGCTTTCTCAAAGCTGACGCATGATAGTATCTCCTACTGCACTTTAGGATAAAATCGGAGGCAGTGGAAGCGCTGCTTCATCTCGTCCTCATCCACTATACTCGCTTCTCTAAATGAAAACCTCTCTGGGCTCTAGTGGTGTTTATAGCTTCTATGTAGAATTATGAAGTTGTTCAAAAGGTGGACCTTAGAATTAGAAATTGTGAAAGAAATTGATGCTGGCTGAATTTGGATAGGACTATCCGATTCTAGAAACACAAAGCCTCTTACCTCGTCGGAAAGGAAAGGCTTTCATTCACATCTTACATGTAGTTTACCGCTCGTCTAGTAGATAGTTTGCTCTTTTTCCACCAGTTAAAAGTTTTGCCGTCGAGCTACCTTATCAAAATGTCCCATCCCATCCTAAATAAGGCCTACATCCTGGTCTGCTGATCGTAAAGCAAAGTCGTTGAATAAAGGACTGCATTCGTAATGTTTTTCTTGGAATAAGGCTCTGATTCTGATCCCTCTTGTACCTTTGTTCTTGCTTCACTGTTGCCCGGTCTAATGCATCTCTCCCGGTTCTCTATTGCTATTAGGGAAGAAGAACGGGTGTCGCCTCTTCACTCACTTTGCGCTCTCACGTAGGCACCGTGAGCACTTTCGTGCCCAACTGTTCTAGGTGGTTCATGACCATCCTTGCTTCGGTCATTATCTAAGAGTAGTATCAGAAATTTGAGTAGCTGCATTTTGGAGCCGCGTTTGCTTTCCGCTGCTACCAGTGTTGCGTGCCAAGCCCATCAGGTGTAGTCCGCCTCGAAGGTCATGTGACCGACGAAACCAAAACTGAGCTTTGAATAGACAGCAGCGGACGAGCCAATTCTTACTTTAGGTGGATTCGATGCAGTTTATCTTTTTCAGTAGAGATTTTGTTCGACTGCAAAAGTACTCATCTCTCCTTTTTTTCAGCTTTCGTTTCCCTTTTTCTTAATGTGTCTGTTTCCAATGATACCTTTTTTAACAGAAAACCCCACTTCTCTACCTTTCAAGAACTTGCTTGGATTAAGACTGTTGATCCCAACTGATATTCGCTTATCTCCGAGGTGCCTTTGGGTTAGCGTCTGTAGCTACCTCATTATAGTCTGGATTCACAGGAACTCAATCCAGAATGAAAGATCAGGCAACTTTATTAACCCCCTCTTTTTTTTCCTATCCCACACATTTTTTCTCTTTTGTTTGCATAAATTATGGACTCTCTGCTCTCTTTTGATAGACTTTCGTCCCTTTCCTCTGCCCTCCTCCCTCTTCACGTCATTATTCCAACTCCCTCGTCCCTTCCTAACTCTATCCTCTCTACTCCTCCGCCTCAGTATTCCATGGAATTTCACAAGCTTGCAAATTTTAAAAATGGCGTCAAAATTGGGTCGATGTGAGCGAAATTACCAGTGAACTTCCAAAGTTGGGAAAACTCCTAACAACACCCATTTTGTTGCTTGACTCATCATCTTCCGACCCTCATGGACGGCAAATTGCTTCCAAATTTTGCCGTCTTGTCTGTCGCAAACCTTCTTTTTACATCTTCCCGTTTTATTTACTGACATCTAATCAAGAAAAGTTGTCTAGTAGAAGCACTCGTCGTGCTATTTTATTTGAGTAACAGTGAGTCCTTCAGATGCTCATTAGCTGTGTTTTTCAGGAGTTGTTTATGTATGCGAACAACTCTACTGTCTACATTTTAGAGTGAGTGCTGTGCAGCGTAAAAATAGCCAGATTTTACTGTTGAAGAAAGCCTCTTTCTTCCCATAGAAGGAGGACCCTTCTCCTTGTTTTGAAGATGAATAGATAGCAGCGATCTCAAACCCATTCATCTGCTTACCTTTTGCGCAGAGGTAACGGGAATGGTACCTCTGTGAAGAACACAGCAGGTTACCACTCCCCTTGCCCTTTTTGAGTGAGAAGGTTTCGTTATAACCCCTCTGGTGGTTTCCTCGCAGCAATTGTTAAATGCATCATGAGGTGAAACATTCAAAATATCTGTCTCTTGTTCATATTAAGTCCGGCCTGATTCTATGCATTCGCGGAAGCTTCTTTGAAGTAATCGTCTAAGCCTTTTTCATCGAGCCATGGGGATGGGATTTCGAAAACCCCCATTTCTACTTCACTTCTTTATCCCAGTCTTCATGAGAGCCATTTTGAAGATGGCAAACACCATTAAGGAAGTGAATCCAAGGGGTGCTAGGAGAACGACGCCTCCGTGTTCATTCTTTCCATGGATACGAATCGTTTTTCAGGAAAAAATTCCTTGCGGACGTCTTTGTTCTTGCGGAATAATTTTCTTCCGTTTTGCCATAAAAACATAGCTCTAAGCATCGATGTTTGTAACTGTTGTCGTCGTCTTATTTGCCTGCATTTCTCCGAAATATTTTTAAATTAACTCTTTAATTTGGATAGGTGATGGTGGTGTCGGCGGCAGTGGTGGAAGCGGAGCAGGCAATCCTAATATTTAATCGTTTCACGGTCCCTTCCTAATTTAAACTCATCTTCTGTCTCCTCGTCTTCTTTTAAAATTTACTTTTAGATTAAATAATTCCTTTTAAGTGTTGGCACTGAATGCGCTTTACTTCAACTGTACCAAAAAGTGGCAGTGTAGTTGTTGTTTTTTCCCCAAAGTATCACGATTTCGATGTCCGAAATGATGGTTTCAATGACTGAATTAAGCTTCTTAAAATCATATAAGCATGGTTAATATCTTCAACTGCTTGGTTGAAATCAATTTTCAAGGGATTTGGCAGAGATATGAATCTTTTCATCCATCTACCCAAATTCTCCTGCAGTCAACCATTCTGTATTTAAGGCACACTTTTAAAGCCTAATTTATTTTGTGACTTTTCCTAAAATTTATCGACTTTGTCCAATGCGAATCGGTTTCATACTTGCGCAACTAAGGGGCATGTTTTTTTGAATGTCGAGAAAAGGAGGGTGAATTGTTGCGGTGACGGTACAGATCAGACAGCCGCCGTCGGTCGTACCTCATGCTATTCCCTCTAGTCTACGAAAAGTAGGCAGAGGGAGGGAAGGTGTGCGTGTGGCTGAGGTGATAATATTCTCCATTCCATCCTGTCCCCTCCTCGTTCCTTGATTGGCTGAATTTTGGGTTCACATCCCTGTGAGGAGGTGAACTTCAAAGATGGCGACTGTCGCCTCGCTGCTTCGTGACATCCACCGAGTCACATTTAATAGCCACCACTGCACCTGGCATTTCAGCCCTATACGTCGTAAATAATTAGCTTTAATGACTTGGCTTTGATCGCTAAACGATATGGATAATTATTTGTGGTGTTTCGACTATTGAATATATTTTGATAATGTTCAAAACAACATCCGTCATTGTCTGAAATGCATTTCTCTCATAACTGGTCGTTTTGGGGCGTGAATCCAAGCTTCTCCTGCCCTTCCAAAAAAGGTCGCACCTCACACTACCACCGAGACGTCACTAGGACAACACAAGAAGGGAGGCGGGGCAAGATAGACAGGAGGCCTGGTCACTGACCAGAAATTGCCATGCCGCACTCATCACTGACTCATCATCTTCATGCCCAACCGACAAATGGACATGTTTCGGCCTCCCACTCCTTCCCGCCCTTCTGTGCTCCCCCCTCCTCCTCCCCACCTTCGCCCGCACCTTCGCTTTCGTCACTCTCCCCCTCCTCCCCC